TCGGCTCAGCGCAAAATTCCAACTTCTTCCCCAGGATATTTTTATTCAGACTGACTAAAATTGGGTAGAAGATCATGGAAATATAAAAGCATGTTGTGGTTTCGGCGAACTTCTAGAATAGCAGGCCGACAAACTGCGTGCATTTTCGAAAATTCGACCTAGCAATGCACATGGAGCGGTCTAAAAAATAAACGAAAGTAATTCAGCCAACTTATGTTTGACGAGTGATTTGAATCCATAAAAGCTTTCGTAAGACTCACAATAGGATAAAAAATCATTAAGTAAGGAAAAGCTCGTCGTCAACGGCGGAGGTTTCCTTAACATCTGATTACTTTCTCTTCGCAGAGAGTCGCGAAAAAAATCCCAGAAATTGAAGCATTGAAAGCCATTCCATTCTACTTAACATTCGCGTGCCATCGGTGTTGAGTGTATTGCGCATATCGTTATCGTTATGCAGGATCTTCCTTCCTCCCAGTTTTTTGACCAATGTCAAACTTTTTTTGGAAGTACCCACGAACTTTGTCAGAGAAGCGTGTTTGCCTGCCTTTAGGTTTTTGAAGCGCCCAACCCATTCGGAGCAAGTTTACCTCGGTAGTGGTTTCCATTTGAACTTCTTTCTGGAGGCGAGACTTTCTTTTGGAATCCAATGAAATGCTCTGGAAAAACTGAACCCAATCGATTCGTAACTAGTCATACACGCCCCTCTGTACCGTCTTCACTGGGCTGTGATTTGCAGTCACACTTAGATGAGTTTCCAGCTCTGCACGACTAAGGAATTCTTTTGAGCACTGGGGATGGGGACGTTCGAAGGTGCCACTGACATCGTCAACTCTCCCATGGTGCGCGGTCGTCTCATCCATCTCTCGTGCTCAAACTACGAAAAACGGTTTATCCTCGCTGAGGCAGGTAGTTTCTTGTAGACAAAATATGACGTCATTCCATGCAATTAGCTTACCAGCTCCGAGGGTAAACTCAAAATTGTGCAGTGCGCTGAAATTAGGGATCTTCTTTAACTTCAGAGTTATAAACTTATCTGCTGTCGTTCCTCGTACTGGTCTTTCTTTTAGGGCAGTCTGCACGTCTTGAGCCGTCAAAATATCATGACCTTCTTTGCAGTAACGTTTGACGGCGGCTTTCATCGGGCATAAAATCCTGTCGCAAATATCCTTACCGTGCTGTGGTTCCGAAAAATTTCATCTCACAACGTCAACTCCCTGACGACTTCCGACATCTCGAAGGGCCATTCAGAGACTGCTGTTGTGATAACAACCCGCTTCGTCTGATCTTAGGTACACCATTGTAGTGGTTGGATGGCTTATTTTGTATGACAGTCTTGTGTTGCCCGAGCATTGAGAGAACAGCGTGGCCACAACTGTTCAACAGGTGAGCGTAAGAGGAGACTTCAAGCTTCTCTCCTATCT